GTTAATACTTACTATTACAATTATAACCCGTTGAATGCGGCACGATTTCATACAGCAAAATGGCCAAATCGAAAAGATGTAATATTAAATCATTTGATTGAATTGCATTATTATTATTGCATGTTCATCTAGCTGAATGTGACCGCATTAGGCAGCATTATTTATAATATAGAAATCGTTTCAAATAATCATAGTTTAACTGAGTGAATTATAGTAATCCGATTCGATTGGGGGTCACCGGTGATCCCCCCGGCATTCAACGCGTTAAAGAACTGGTGAATGAGAATGAGCTGTTTAGTTCATTGCACCAAATTAATAATATTATTAACATGTTGGTGTTCATGATCAAATTTGAAATACAGTTACTGTGCGTGCTTTTCTTGCAATTGTTTCACGTGATAAGTTATGTATATAATTTTTACACATTTAAAACATAGTAAATAAGCCAAACAAAGCATTTTACACAAATATCATATATGTGTGATATTTTATATAGAATATACTATACGCCAAATATATGTTAATGTCATTATATAATGATAATGAAGAGCGTCACACATCGCGATGCTGACCTTTCTAAACGGATCGCTGCGTTACACATATGTCGCGCGTGATCGCGACCTATCAAGAAATATTTATACACACATATTTTACAACATTATCTTTTATATCTTGCTAAAAACATGTCGTTTACTGAAGAAATTGAAATATTGATGACAAATCAAACCATCCAGCTGAAAGAGTATAGAATTATATGAAAACTCATAAAAAGTATCAACCTAAACCCTATAAGAAATTATAGGGTTTATTAAAAGAACGAAGGCATGAGTCGTACCAGTTACTATCATCGTCAGTTACGAAAATGTATAATAAAATTCAGTAACAATGAGGATAAATATGACGAGATTATTGTCAAAATTTACTAAAGAATAACAAGAACGTTGAAGTTGCTTTATAAACAAAAATGATATGGATAAAATACTAAAATTATATCAATTGAAACGTTTGTGTGTCGTGTGTGTAGCGATTTACCGCGCGAATTTTGATTCTGTTCGGGGTCGTAAATCCCGAAGTAACCTTTCGGTACGCGGCTCTTCTTCACACTTGTCCACCAAATTAATCTCGGACAATTTAATCGACAGCGTTAGATCCCGACTGATGGACTAGGTGATTCGACTGTAGTGTTCCCGAAATTTAGAAGAGTATTCGCGGTGTCCTGAACGATGGACTTGTGATTATGTATGTAAGCTGAGTCTCGTATGATTGACTCGGTTGAACTTGTATGAATGATTCTTGTGAGCTGAGTACTTACCTTTTTATAATTTTAGGTACCTGATCGAGGCACCTCGAGGTCGTTCCAAGTGCGCTGATTGGGTTTTCCGATTTTTCAATCAGCGCACATTTAAAATTTGATGTTTTCAACTCGACGCTTGGGGGGTTTCTCTAAGGTTTGACAATGACGCGGAAATTTCCTCCAGGTCGACTGTTGACTGCAAGGACCGTTACGAACGTATTTCAGTCGATCCTTCGGAAATTTCAGATTTATGACATTGCTAATCTTGAGGATGGACGAAATGAAAAATCTAAAGTTAATGCACAAGAACGGAAATGACTCGAAAAATAAACTTTACTGTCGTGAACATGAAATTGCCGGTTATAGAGATAAATTCGAAAGTGTTCGAGAAAATTAAACACGGCAACAATCTTTTTGTCACGTCCATGTCATAAACTAACCTTCGATAAATTTTGCCCCATTGTACTCCGCATCGGAGGGAATACTTGGTAAATACATATTTTCGCTCTTTGAAAACATTGTCAAATTCAATTTTCTACCACTTTAATCTTTTTTATCGACCTTTCCAGAGCTTTTAGACATGGTATACTTATCTTTTTCAAAGTTAAATTTAATTTAATCTAATTAAAATTTTCACTAAATATCTGAATACAATTGTCTGTATCGTTTTAGATTAGGTACATATGTTTGAGTTGGAAAAGGAATTTAAATTAAATAACAGATTTATGTTTTATTTATTATACTGTGTCGTTTTGAAGTTTCATTCATATTAATAATAATCATTTTCATAGTGCTATTACAAAACTATATAAAAATTTATAGACTTTGTAAAAGTATGTAATACTGTTTTTTGTATTACTTATGGACCTATTCAAATAAAATATTTGTTGAGAATAAGCATTAAATATATTTTTAATGGCAAGAAAAGTGCATCCGTTGATACAGTCCCCTCCCTCACAAAGATCAGTTTTACTTGAATAGGACAACCATTTTTATTGCACTCGCTGAGCGTCTCGGTTTTTTTTCTAGTTGTTCGGTAGGTCACAGTACACGTTCAAGCAACGAAGAGCGTTCCTATATATGCAGTGTGACTTTATTATAATAGCTTTGAAAAACACGTCTAGCTCTCTCAAGTTCTCGAATGCGAATGAATATGGAACACCCAAAAGTAAGTTGGGGTTCGCTTTTCTTTACAAGACCGTTTATGACCTTGCCTGGAGAAAAGTCTCTTGACTTCGAATGACAAAACCCGGACACATCTTGTTGCCTTTCTATCGCCTTTGTTTAGACGATAGATATATGACCGTTCGGCATTTCTGCTTTTTCTAGCTTAACATTAGTAATAATTCAACAATGTACTTAGTTTCAAACTCTGTTGTATTTATTTAGCAAATAAATATTCAACAGGTTATGGGCCCAGTACACTTCCACTGCGCCTAAGTGTATTGTATTAAAGCCAAATTAGGCATCTGCATATAGGGGGGCTGGTCGGCGGGTGAGCTGGTCGCTAGTACGACGACCCCTGAGGGATGCCCCGGGGTATATGCCCTGCGCGTGAAAAGTGAGTAAAGCGTCCGGTTACCCTGCCCTCAATACTAAGAATTCGGTGCTTAGTAAGGTTGGATTGCCACCACCTGGAAAGCGTCGGTAAGAAAATGATGACTCGCATCTCCAAAACAAAAAAACCGGACGGGAATAAAAACGAGGACAATGGCACGACCGAGGACTCGAGAAGGAGTAAGGCAAGGGGCTCAATATACGAACTCCGTTCGAGGAGCTCCACCAAAAGTCCCACAAGCCCAACACGTGGAGCACTTAGGGCGGCACCCAGGGTTAAGGGGGAAGCAGCACTGCACCGAAGAACACCTAATACTAGTGCCAACACTAGCAGGGCATCGGACGCAGACACCGAGGTGACAGCCACAGGAAGGGCCTCTACCTTAAAGGATCAGTAGGAGTATTTACACCTGCAAGAAAATTAGTAATAATGACAATGTAAGAAGGCTACAATTGCTTAAATGATACGTAGAGTGTCACTATAATTGTGTTTTCACGGTCGGGGACAAGACTCTAAACAGACTTCTAATTTTTTGGTTCCATATTAAATAATGTGTGCTTCTCGGGAAGTAGTTGATGATATTATCTTAAAAGGCCAATATTAAGATAAATCGCTGTACGATAGAGGTAACAAACTATAATACAAATAGTTTGTATAACAAAAGTAACAAACTATAACAAAATCTAATTAATAGAGCAGATATATCGCTATATATAATGATCAGTATGTGATAACTGGTACTAATAACTTTTAAGTATCCGTAAGACTTAAAAATATATATACATAACTATCGGCTAATTTTCTTAAATCTCATAATATTATAATACCATAATGCTTAACGAGTAGTTGATGTTGAATAAAATTCTTCAATTTTGTAAAGAATGTCTATTAATTATAAATTGCGTGCTTGAAAAAGACGAGAATCAGAAATGGCCAAATTTTAGAGAGTAGGCTATTGGCTATATTTTTGTATTATTTTGAGTGATAACAGCACTTTCAACTGTAAAACGTTGTTTAATGAAATTTGTGAGGATTTCTTCCTAAATATAATATATACTGTTTAAATATATTCTTTTCGCCATCTACAAATAACGCTGATAACAGTAGAATTAAAAGTAGATCAATTACATCGACTCTTGACCTTATTTCTCGGGATTACGAGTTACAAGATAGGGTCCAGTACGTCGCTGATTACAGCGGAAATTTAAAAGGTAACTTTAAACGTGACCTTAGACTCTGCGTTAAGGTCACAAAAATGCTTAGCGAGGAATTAAACGCCCGCTCATACGCACCAACGGACGTGATTCAACTCAGAGCGCAAAACTCAGGTCTGCTAGTTAAAATAGCAAACCAGGAAAGCACGATCGTGAACCTGAAGCGAACTGTGATAGAATTAAGGGGAGAAATAGCCCAGTTGAGGGAGCGTCTACACTTGGCTCCGGCTGAGGCCCAAAAGACAAGGAAAGAGGAGGACCGGGGGAGTGAGCAGGTAACCCTCTGACAGGACCTCCAAAACATGAAGTACAGGATAATGCGGCGGCTCACAGGAACAATAGAGTACATCTTTGAGAAATCGAAGAGGATGGAGCGCACACAGGCAACTAAGACCCGGAGTATACCTCCTCAAGTACCTGGTACTCAGTCTTGCAAGGGTGCCCCCACCGTCGGCGAAGAGAGACCCTTGGCAAAATCGTTAACGTTTGCTGAGTGTGTCAAGAGAATAAAAGGCATAGAAGAGGGGCCTTGGATATATCCACTCCCTATGGCTCCGACACCGAGAAGGATGGAGGGCCGAGGAGAACAGGAATCCGCTCCCGCCCTTCCAAGTATATGCAATTGTTTAACCGATGCTGATGGGACCACCTCTGGAACCGAAAATTCCAGAAGGAATAAGAAGGGGAGGACTAGCAGGAAGGGCAAACCCAAGATTGGGCGTATGCCCAAAACTGCCACAGTCGCAGTCAGCCTAGTCCCTGGTTGTAAGGCATCAATGGCCGAAACAATGAAGAAGGCCAAGGAAAAGATCAGGCTAGACGGGATAGGCATAAGGCCTGGTGAACTCATACCCAAACGGGCTATTACCGGGGGATGATCTTGCAGGTCCTTGGAGAGGGTAACAGGAAGAAGGTCACCGCACTGGCAACCTCAATGGGGACCGTATTCAAAGACAAAAAGGAAATAAAGATCACGATACCACAAAAGATGTCGGAAGTCCGCATAACGCGAAAAGACGACTCTGTCACATCTCAGGAAATCGCCGCGGCAATTGCCACTAACGGCGACTGTGATGTGTCAGACGTTAGGGTAGACACGATAAAATTCGCTCTCTGCGGTATGGGTACAGTGTGGGCCAAATGCCCAACAGCAACGGCGAAAAAGATCGTAGCACTGGAGCGGCTCATAGTCGGGTGGTCCGCCACGATAGTGACGCCACTGGAGACCAAATCGCTCCAGTGCTACAAGTGCATGGAATTTGGACATGTTTAGGTCCGATGTCCAAAGGAGGAGGATAAGCCCTCAAACTGTTTCCGGTGCGGCGGAGAAGGGCATATGATTGCGGAATGCAAGGCAGAAAAACAGAACTGCTTTTTATGCCAGGACAAAGAGTTCGAATCGAACCACGCAATAGAACAAATACGGCCCCGGCTGTATTTAACACATTGCGTACGGCGTTCTGCTCGCGCAACGCGCTTCCAGAGCCCGCATATTTTTGGATGCTCCAGAAACAATTTATACGATGCATATATGCACTTTTTTAATTCGCATTTGGTATTATATTCACGTAAGGTATTCTTAAATATTACTATATATTTTTATTACATGTTTTACATTTTTTACATTTTAACTATTATTTATTTTACAAACTTGAATAATCCTTTACAGTATGGTACTTGGCGAAGCATTCTCCTTTGTGCAATGGTGTTTGGCACAATTTGCAAGTATATCTCGTTTCGCTACTTTTTCCATTGGACACACAGACTTTACATTTTTTTGTTGGGAATTTCTTCTTGGCGTTGCCTATTATTGGTTCAAGAGTATGTTGTTTCATATTACCCGAGAGTCTATATGGCGGGGTGATGCGTATATGTTTTCTTGTATTTGGAATACTTTGTTCAATATCTATAATCGTATTTATTGATCTTTCTTCCGATGTCCATAACTGCATCACAGCCATTAAAAAATCTTTATATTTCATCTTCTTGTCATTACAAAACTTATAAATTTTGAACGCGTTTAATAGGCCGCAGTTGATGAGGTATAATACCACCTTTTTCGGCCATTTAATTGTTTTTCGCATTATTGAGTAGTAAGAGAGATATTAGTCAGCGAGGTCGACACCGTTCATGTTTAAATTATAATCCGCAATGCATTTCGGTTTCCTTATAGTTTTGTGTTTTCCAACACAACTGACCATTTCAAATTTGTGGATTGTCGAAATCATTCGTACTTCTCTTTTGTCGTTCCAAATTTGTAATAAAATATCACGTAATAGGAATTCGGCAGTATTCAAAGTATTATAATAGTTGTTCATATAAAGATGGTGCCAAGATCCGAAATACGGTCTAAGAATCGTTGCCACAGTGTCCTGCAGTTTCTTGCCTTGTCCACAATAAATTTCTATATTACATATAAAATCTATACTTGGTGAGCTTTCGTGGATTGTAAGTCCCAAATTTTAATTTTCCACACCAAGGGATCATGGCTTCTAGCGACATCTAGCGACGGGTTTTGATGAGGAGTATAAACAGTTTTAAATTTGTCTATTAGATATTTGTAAACAGGTTCTAATTGTAGAGCCTATCACTATTTTCGTTCATTTTCATGTTATCGTTAAAGTATAAATATTTCGTAACCTGTTCAAACCTGTTCCTGCTCATTAATTTTGAAAAGATAAGCGTTGCCAAATATGGATTAATGGACCGTATTCTTTTATCTTGTCCTTTCGTATTTCTCCCATTAAAATAAATATTCCAAACAGTTTTTTTATTCATGAACAGGAGACATTCCTCCATCTTCCTTGTTTCGAATTAGACTTATATTTATGTACACTTTGTAAATAATAACAATTTGTTCCCTCACAAATAATTTCGAAAAATCCATTGCCAAATATACAATCGACTGCTTCCTTCACATTACAGTTCTTTTGTAATGATGTAAACGTACCACAAATTCCTGTAAAAGGTTCCAAATTTGGAAAAGTATCCTCTTCTGTCCATTCTTCAGTTACAGGCTCATCAGCCTCCGTATCCAAATCTTCACTTTCGCTTGAAATATTACATTTTTTATTCTGTCCTCTTCTATGTCTAATAACATCACTCAATTCAAGAATATCGCTATTATCACTGAGTTCATTTTCGTCTAAAGTGTTATCTGGTGCATCCGATAAATTATCGAACAACAATTCACTTTGATTTTCATTTTCTTTACTTCTATGCGTCATTTTGCTTCTATTTTGGAATTAGGGCCTATTTCATAAAATAATTCTTATCATAAATTATCATTAAAAGATTGAAAATATAAATGATTTAAAAAAAATTGTTTCCTTACAAATTAAAACGCGAACTTTGTAATAACAAAATGCTGTACAACAATAAAACACTTTATAAAGTACGATACACAATCGACACAGAGCTACCGATGTAATAGCTATACTGACTGACTGACTTTTACGCTCTCGGAATGTCGATATTAATTTTTTTTTCACTAACCATTTATTAGGAGAATACGCGAGACTTCGTTACTCTGGTAACGTAACAAGAAAATCTATTTTTGATTCCCTAAATCATTGATTGAGTCGAAGAAACCTGAAAACGAGATATCTCATCGCCCGGCCACAACGTCCAGCTTGCTAAAGACCAGATATCTCGTCACCCGTGCGCAATGTGTTAAAAAGTCAACGGTTCCAGCTCTAAAAGCTAAGGGAAGGAAAAAGGCCGTGTCCATCGACAAGGATGATGCGCAGGCGGTTCCATCCGGAGGAGGGTGGAAACATCCTCCCACGGTTAAACCTCCTGTAGTAATTTAAGGTTTATATCAGAGGTGCAGTGGGCAGAAAAAGTAAGATTACTATGGAAAATAAGGAGTACGTTTATTGTGATACGGTTTAAAATACAAGATCTATTCTACGCGATGGTTCGGCTGTGACTGATTGCAGCCCCGCTTTCGTCAGCGATGGGACACTTAATTTATGGTCCACCATCGGGCCACATGCTTTAAACACTTCTCAAAAACAGTCCGGTGTCGCGCCAGACGCTCGAATCGAATCTCCTATTACGACTTCGGAAAGATCGCCTCCTAGCACGACACCTTCCACGCTCGTCCGTCCCAGGCCGAGGCGGGTCAGCTGGGGCTGGCTCATCTCCATAAGGCCCGGGGAGGGGGGAGGCATGTGCTGTGGTCTTCCCAGCACATGCTCGTCGTTTCAGGGTATGTAGTATGGGACGTTTAAAACCAGAGGGAGAGCGTGGAAGCGATAGATAGGCGCCGGCCCTCCCTCACTTCGGTCCGCAGATGGAAGACGGTGAGGGTTTAGTCAGTAAGAATTCGACA